GGTTTAGGGTTCAGGTTTTCGGGTTTGGGGTTTAGGGTTTAGGGTTTCGGGTTTGGGGTTTGGGGTTTAGGTTTTCGGGTTTGGGGTTTAGGGTTTAGGGTCTGGGCTTCAGGGTTTGGGGCTTATATACAAGCCTGAGTTATTCATGAGGGTTCCTTATCAGAAAAAGACTCGTTCGAGTGACTAAGGCACCAAAATCTAAAAACACATCCGCAAACCCTAATCCCTGAGCTGACTTCCTTCAGAGCTCACAGCTCGACGCTGCAAAACCAAAGCCAAGTTGAATGCCTCAACGACGAACAACACTATCATAGTGACACACAGAAGAAGACTGACAATGTTTCTGCTTCGCAGAGTTCGCTAAAAGCAGCATAGCTTCCCAAATCACCCATGTGATTCGTACCCTAAACCCTAAACCCTAAACCCTAGACGTGTTCCTTATGCTTGTCAAGCAGATCTAGAATCTAGAGCCTCGTGGCTCAAAGCCCCAAGCACAAACCCCTAAATCCTAGTCCCTACACCCTAAACCCAAACCATAAAAGCCGACTCCCAGGCTCTAATATTTACGGGCCTATGTAACATCTCATAGTATTATACTGAGAGTAAGGAAACCCTAAGGAGTATATTGCTACAAAACTGTTCAAGCGTCTGCATGACGCTGCGCTAGTAGTACTTCCTTCTGAAGGGATCCGGAGCGGGTATTTTGGGGTTCTCATCCTCAACCCCACAGCTCCAAGATGTGGCTCTGAATACTTCGTAATTCTATAGCTGGTTGTGCTACAACATATCCCTGGACTATATTCGGTCCCATTCCAATTCGTCAGGCAGGCTGCTAAACTAAACGCTACACCCTAAACCCTAAACCCCAAGCCGCCAGATTGATCCCTTCATGTTCCTTGCTGTTCAAAACCTAGACCCTAAACCCCTACAACCTAAACCCCAAACACCTAAACCCTAATCCCTAAACCCTAAACCTTAAACTGAACCCTAAACCCCTAAGCCCTAAACCCTAAACCCCTAACCTTAACTGTTCAGGTCCAAGAGCAGCAGCGAATGCGTCAAGGCATGTGCGTTTTCACCTTTTAGGGTTTAGGGTTTTCGGCTTTAGGACTTAGCGTTTAGGGTTTTGGGGGTTTAGGAGGGATTTAGGGGTTTAGGATTTGGGCCTTCATGTCATGTAACGAAATCTTTCCGTCAACCTGATTGTGCACCGTTGTATGCTGTCATACCGTGCCTTGTGCTATCGTGCAAGGTCATATATGCCTACAGGTCAGGCCAGTCCATATGGGGGTTTCCGAAATAGGGGACCCTAATACAGTACCCTAAATCGTCCCCAATTTTCGGAAAGTCCCATATGTTGCATCTGTACGTAGGTGGGTATGTTTCCATGTTCCTTGACTAGATACTGCTCTCTCCGGAGCTGCTGAACCCTAAAACCCTAA